CACGCGTAGCGGTTTGCGGAAGGTGTAGGGTAGCTTAAGCTAACTGGACCCTTCATTCATCTGGAATGGAAAGGGGCTGTGACGCTGCGCACCCGCCCGTTGGTTGGGATGAGATTGGGACCTTCTGTCGATTCCACGAGGCAGGAGGCAGAATCTTTGCCAACAGGAAAAGAAAAACTTAGGGATCGAAGCTCGAGGGGCCGACCGACGGTGACGATGACACCTAGAAAGAAGACCCCACGCCCATGTCAAGCCCACCAACCACTGTACCTCTCTCCCCACCACCGGCTTTGCGACCGCCCGCGCTATCGTGCTGCTCCATGCCTCCCAGGATCTGCCACGCGCGACCCATCATGCCATGGCCCAGTCCCTGGGAGAACCCTGCCGCGGCGCCGTAGACCGAGCTCTTCGTGGCGGCGTGGTGTCGCCGCGCGAGGCGTTCCTTCTTGGCTGTGGCGACGCGGTCCTGTTCGCGTTCGTGGCTGATGATCTCGTCGCGCCAGTCAGCCCACTGCTCGAAGTTCTCGCGCTGCTGGAGGACGTGGTAGCGGAGTTTGGTCTTGCTGGGGCGCCACGTGACCCGTGTGGTTGTGGTGGTGCTGGTTGGGTCGGAGGCGGTGCTGGTGGTCGGAGGAGCGGTGGACTTCAGGTCGCAGATGTGCGATTCCTGGGTCAGTTTGAGGAGATGGGTGAAGACGTCGCGGCTTTCGGAGGCGGTGTGTTGGATCTTCTCACGACGCGGGGAGGAGACGTGGCTCTGCGTCAGGGGCACGTCGAGCCAGGAGTGCAGGTCCGCCGAGCGTTGGATCGAGTACGGGTCGAGGATGTTGGCGCGGCGGTGTTCCTCGCGGAAGTAACGTACGGCGGCTTGCAGGCTCTCGACCTCGGCGCGGAGGGCTTCGTTCTCCCGCATCGTGGCAAGCGATAGGCCGGCGTCAATCACCACGCCACCTTCAGCGGTCGTCGTGGCGCCTGTCGTGCCAGAGATGCGCTTGACCTTATCCAGACGGGTCTTAAGCTCGTCGCGTTCGGTCTCGAGGGCTTCGATCCCCGCGCGCTGTTGGTGCAGAGTGGATTCCAGATCCGAGTGTGCCGACTGGAGCTCTTCGATCTTCGCCTCCAGGTCTTTGACCATCGAGGCCTTTTTGCTGGCGTCGCGCATCCGGGACTCGACCAGTTCGACTTTGATGGCTTGCTCCTCGATGGTCTTGTCCTTTACGCCAAGGGCGGTGGAGGCTTCATGAATTTCGTTCTTGAGCCGTCGGATCTCCTCGTCCGCGTCGGGGGAGTTTTGTTTGTTGGATTTGAGTTCTTCGGCGCGGATGGTCCAAGGGGAGGGTCGCTTCTCGAACTCAGACGTGATCGAGAGATCGGATGTGATTGAGTCGAGCTCTTCGAGGAACCCGCCTAGACTACGCAGTCGGTTGGAGATAAGAGACGTTGCGTCGCTGCTTTCGCTGCCTGTTTCGGAAGGCTGTGCATAGAGTGTAGAGATTTGGGACATCGTCTTTAGTGCTTCCTCCAGGGTCAGAGGCTCAGTTCGGCTTTCGTCGATGATGATGATCACAATCGTCTCCCCGAGTTGTCGGGTTAAAGCAGAGAGATCCTTGGCTGCTTCTTCGGCTTGTTTGAATGGGCCGGCCACATCGGGTGAAAGTGCAAGGGATCTGGAGCGGAGCTCTTCCAGAGAGCGATAAATCTTTCCCATGGCGACTTTCAGTCCACGGGCTTGTGTCACAATCCCTTCCAATTTGTTGTAGAGGAATGCGCTTTCTTCATCGCCTCCTTCCGGTACCGCAAGCTTTGACTGCAATAAGGTCCTCAGCCGCGAGATGGTTGAAGCGCTGTGATCGATGTAAGACTGGGCCAGCATGGAGCGCATGCAAAGTTCGTCCGCAAATGTTTCCAAGGTCGTTGGCAGAAGGGTCTCAGCAAGATGGGCGAGTAGGGAAATAGACCGCTGTAGCTCAACTGCACACTTCTTCATGTTCACTTCGTTCTTTTTCAACCCTTCGATCCAAAAGTTCAACGTGCGTTCCACGGGCTCGAGCTCGAACAGAGCGCCTGCAATGCTGCCGAAACTCTCGGCTGAACAGGTGTTGATGTAGTTGACGAAACGATCACAGAGAGCAGCAATCCATTGTAACCTCTCCATTACTTCGCTCGCCACAAAGACCTCTTCAATTGCGGTAGACACCGAGGCTTGCTCTGCAACCTTTTCGCGGATGGTGTTATTCATCAACGAGGCTTTGAAGTTGACACGCTTGAACCGGAGAAGCGCAAGGATAGCATTACGCTCGCTGTCAAAATACTCTGGGAGATACAATTTGAGGATTGACAAGTGCTGCGTTGCTTCTTCCGCCTCCATACGACCAAGTTCGATATCGATTGTCTTGGTTTGCGCCTTGGAAACGGATGCCTGAAGCTTCAAGTTGAGGTCCATCATGGCACGAGAGCGCGTGGTGAGATCGGTAGCTTCCGCTTCGGAGATTTGCTGCGATGCGCGCATGTCCTCCAAGTCGCCTTGCAGGGTAGAGACCAGCTCTCGAAAACGGACCAAGGTGTATTCGAGGTCTTCGATGACTTCTTCCTGTTGATTAATTCTCCGGTTTTGTTCATTGCACTGACTCTCCCGATAATCGATTTCCTCCTGAAGCTGTTTCTCTGTTTCTATGTGGTTGTATTCGAGTTCATCGTTGATCTCTTTCAATGCCTCCAGATCTTCGATTGCAGCCTTGAGGTCGTTGATCTCTTCCTGGTAGCGCATGTTTTTATCTGCCAGTTCTTCAATCATCTCCTCGGCGCCCAGCGCGGTTTCAAGCTGCTGCTTCAGATCCTCAACATTGTTCTCGGACACAAGTAGTTTCTCTTTCGTCGATTCATACTGAGATTTGATAGCTGTATAGTCTTCAAGGTCTTGCTGGAGCTCCTTGACTTGGTCTCTTAGCTCGGCCTCCTGCTGCTGAGTCATGTCGCGAAGACGGATTAAGGCCTCGCGGAGACGCTCGTTCGTCTTTTCCATCTGCAGCCATCCGTGGCTTGACTTTTCCTCGGGAGTCATGGCCTGTCCAAGCTCCTCGTTTTCTTCTCGGAGGACTTCGACCTCCAGCGACAGCTCTTCAACCCTCAGTCGCAGTGTCTCACATTCATGTTTGAACATCTCGGACGTTTCTTCCGCCATCTCACGATCCAACGTAGCCATTTCCAGGATTGAGTCATGTTCGGCTTGAAGGCGCTCGACTTCCTCCAGCCGAGCTTCCGACTCCTTTAATCTCTTGCGTAGTTCGCCAATCTCGAGCTGCTGAGGTTGGTATTTCGCTTGCAGCTTCTGGATGATGCTCTCAAACTTGTCCCGATCCGACTGCAATTGCTCCAGGTTCTTCAGCTTTTCGCGATCGTCGGCTCGTTTCTTCTCCATTACTCGAAGCTTGGTTTTCAATTCATCAAGTTCTCGCGATACAGCGCCACCGGTCGAAAGACGCTGCGACGAAGGCTGTGGCTGCTTTTGGCTGCCACTCACTGTCCGTGAGGCGCCAGGACTAGGCCTAGCAGACCTGAGACCCGGGTCATCCTGATCCCCGTCGCCCTCGACATCCAGTGTTTCAGCATCTGGGTCCTCTGACAGAGGGCTAGTTTCACCCTCCACATCTTCTGACGCTCTGCCGGGGACCGTTGGTCGCACTGCAGGGCGTTTCGCCAGCCCCGTCGGCGCAGATGCGGTAGCGTGCAGACTCGGTCTTCTCGTCTTGGATGCGGGTGTTGATATTGAAGAGCGAGAGGCGCGATTGATTGTTGATGGGAGCGGCGGAGGGGGCATAGATGTCTTGGAACTAATAGACGGGCGAGCTTTGGGGGTGGCTGCGGCGGGTCGCGGAGTGCTGCTAAGAGAGGAACGATTGGAGGAAAGCCCAGATCCCGACAATTGCTTTGTCGGAGACTTCGTAGGAGACTATAGTAAGCGCCAGCCATTAGCTTGAGAGTTCTCCAGGCCAGCCCATCCGGTGGCATGCATGCATTACCTTTGTTGACAAGCGCTGAGCGGCGCCTCGCAGCGCGGAAGTCGGGCTTGCCGCACCGGCACTGTGTCGTTTGGTGTTGGCGGTTGCGATCGCATTGGGCTTCTTGAGGCCAGCGGCAATGCCGCTCTGAGCTCTGCCTCGGGCCGGAGTGGGTTGAGCGGTGGTGATAGCTTTCGGAGCGGCGGGCTTGGGTGGTGGCCGTGCGGGCGGTTGTTCAATGATCGCGTCGACGGCAGTTGGACGAATAAACATGCCAAATCCTGGCTCGCAGTCAAAGTACCTCTCGCCTTGTACGGCGCCATCATTCTTCCCCGTGGGTTCGTCGAGCTCAATGCCTACCCAGTCGCCAGGCGCGAAGTGTGTTGTGCCCACAAACCGAACGGTGGCCTGCCGACCGTCGGTGAGAGTGACCACATGGCCGGGAATTAGTTCAGTCATCTTGAAGCATGCGTCAGGGTGGGAGACCCTGTACAGACGCAGAGTTGCCCTAGTAGGAGGGGGAGAGAGGAGGGGAGAGAGGATGGAAGAGGGGGAGAGAATGGAGATGGTAAGTTAGTACGGAGTACTTCGTTATTGTTGTTGACGGGACGGAGAGTGGATTGATTGTTGCTGGCCTGAGAGAGAGGCCTGAGGACGCGGCAGGGGTCTTGGGCCTGAGGCATGCACAGACATCCGCATTACGGCTCGAGGCCGACAACAACATAATGTAATTTCCATTGCTTCTTTTTTCTCCATCCCTTACTGTTGCCACATTCTTGAAGCCCACTGGCTGAGCTGCCTGGTTTTCATACTGTTGTATGCATGTCTGTCTCACCCAAAAGGTGAGGGGCGAACCCAAACATCATACTCTCATTGAGACCATGAGATGAAGCCTTAGTACTACCAGTATTTGTATCTAAACAGCAAGGGCTCGACTACCACATATAAGATGCAGTATCCAGCAATTTTACGGGGAGAGCCAGAGGTCTGCTTCCTCACATCACGATCGCTTCCTGCCTGTTCTGGTATTCAGCCGGCAATTCCACTGGACCTCTAAATACCTAAGAGTTCTCCTCCAGCTCTACACCACCAGACATCGGTCAATCTTCCCAGCAAGACTGTACAAGATGGCCCGCCTCATGTACACAGGTGGACTTCTAACCACAATAGCCAGCCTAGCACTGGCAGCTCCCTCGACCGACGACTGGGCACAGCGATCGATCTATGTATGTCTCTCTGCCTTCTGATTCCACTGTGCATAGCATCCTCATCCGCTCCTTAGCAAGTCTTGACCGACCGCTTCGCGCGCCCCAATAACGCACCAGATACATCATGCGATCCCACCAAATACTGCGGGGGTACATGGGCCGGTATCATCGACAAATTGGACTATATTCAAGACCTAGGATTTACAGCAATCCAGATCTCTCCAGTCGTCGAGAATATCCCCGAGACCACATCGGCAGGGGAGGCATGGCATGGCCACTGGCCGCAAGACCTGTACGCCTTGAATGCGCACTTTGGGACAGCCGAAGACCTGCGAGCGCTGGCGGATGAGCTACACCGACGGGACATGTATCTGATGGTGGAAGTGGTGCTCAACAACATGGCGCAAGCCGTCGACACCGACAACACTACCGTCACCTCCTCAGTGATCGACTATTCGCGATTGCACCCTTTCAACGAAGAGGGCTACTATCATCCCTACTGCAACGTCAGCGAGGCAGGCGATGCAGCCACAAGTCAGAGCTGCTGGCTGTCCAGCGAGCCTGTCGCGCTGCCCGATCTGAAGACCGAAGACGCGCGCGTCTCGACAATGCTCCAGACTTGGGTCCAGGAACTCGTGAGCAACTATTCCATCGACGGGCTCCGGGTCGCTGCAACAAACCACATGGACCCCGAATTCTTGAGTGGCTTTACCCGCGCCGCCGGGGTCTTCACGCTGGGAGAGGCTGACTCGGTCGACGCCACCACGATGTGCCAGTACGACGAGGCGGTCTCGGGCCTGGTCAACTACGCGGTCTATAAGCCCATCACCATGGCTTTCGCGCCCGCCGGCGACATGCCTGGGCTGGTGAACAGTCTGCAGACGGCCATCGAGAAGTGTGACAACTACACCCATCTGGCGACGTTCGCCGAGAATCACGATGTCCCGCGGTTTGTCTCCATCCAAAATGATACCGCAGTAAGCCTTTCCTCCTACTCCCTATCGCCGACTGGCCCATATACACGTAGACGTTATGCTGCAGTGCATAGCTCGCCCAACCCGCACGCTCAAGACTATCCCCCTCCCCATCCCCCCTCTGTCCAGCGCATAATTGAAGCCTCTTACCAGTCTAACATGATCCAGCTTGCTCAAAACGCCCTAGCATTCACTCTCCTCACCGACGGAATACCCATGGGTAAGCCCAGTCCCCAGTATCCCCGCCCCAGACCCAGCATTTTCCCAAACCACAAACACTCCATACTAACCCCCGCGGCACAAACCAGTCTACCAAGGCCAAGAACACAACCAAGCCACCCCCAACTCCCCCTTCTGGTCCCTGCCAACCGACAATTCCACAACAACGACCACGATCCTAACCAAGACCCTCAACCACCTACGCAGCCACGCCCTGCTCATCGACCAAGGCTACCCAACCAACCACAGCGAGACCCTCTACCTCGACGGATCCACCTACATCACCCGGAAGGGCACGGAGGGGATGCAAATCGTCTCGGCGTTTTCCAACCGCGGCAGTACCACCGCCACTGGCAACTACCAGGTCAACGTGACGCGGATGTATCACCCGGGCACCGAGGTGATGGAGATGCTCGGCTGTGAGCGGCACGTCTCGGCGACGGGCGGCGTGATCCCGGTGGATTTCGTCGGGGGCGCGCCCAAGGTCTTCTATCCGGTTAAGTATCTTAATGGGTCGGGGCTGTGCGGGTTCTGAAAGTTCTTGGTTTCGTTTTATACAGACGGAAGATGGAGAGACTGGGTCCGATGGAGGGAACAGTGGGCTCAGCTTGGATGTTTAGTCACAATGCTGCAGTAACGTCACTTGGAGCTGCCCATACTTGATTGATATATATTGTTTATCAAAGCCAAACAGCACCCAGGAATCTGATATAAAACAGCATCACTCGTATACCTCATAGCGTCTTCAAGGCCCGTGGGCCGTGTAATTATACGAAAAGTCTATGCTATAAGCAAAAAGAGAAAGAAGGAATGTTTCTATACGATCACGAGAAAAAGGCTCAGGACCGCGACTTGAACAAGTGAGGGAAACAAGTCCTCAACTCCTCAAGGCTGGAGATCTGGAACTGGGAAGCCGGCTCGGGAGGGGCGGGGACGCCCGGCTCGACGAGATGGGCCACAGCCCAGCCGCGCTCCGCCGCGTGTTTGCAATTTGAGCCGGAATCATCTATACCCATCAATCCCGAAGATATTAGCACGACCCCTTTTTCCTTTCCAAGGTCCAAAGGCAATACGCCAGGGACGAAAGACAACCTACCGACAAAATAACATTCCCCCGAACTCGACGCCCCGGCCTCCCGCTCGGCCTTGTCGTACATCACCTGGCTGGGCTTGCACACCAGGGGTGTCTGCGAGTAGTCGCAGTACGTGACGCCCTCGAACAGGTCGTCGACCTCGAGCAGCCGGACGACGCGCTTGGCGTGCGTGACGTAGGCGTTCGTCAGCAGCCACAGCCGCACCTGGCTCCGGTCGATGTCCTCGAGCAGCCGGCGCAGCTGCGGGTCGGGCTTCAGAATCTCGTCCAGCGGCAGCGCGTCGTCGACCTCGCGGTTGAAGGCGAGCGGGTCGATCTTGTGGTGCCGCGTGAGCCCCTCGATCGCCAGCCCGTACTCCTTGTAGTATTTCATGTGCAGGTGGTGCGCATCTTCGGTGCTGAGGGAGAGGTGCTTGATGAAAAAGGCGTCTGTTGTGCAAAGGAGATTGGAGTTTCGGTTAGTGAGGTGTACAGTACAGTGAGTGGTTGAGTGTGGGGGTTCGGGTTTGTGGTTGTGGTTGTTGGTTGTTGGTGTTGTAGTTGTAATTATGGGTGTAACTCACTGATCAGCTTTTGCATCTCATCGTGAATGTTGCATTCTGTGCGCGCGCAGATCGCGGGGCCCGGTTAGTTGGTTTCGGTTTACTTTCGTGGAATGGTGGAGTTGAGATTTCGGTGTTGTATACCTCGGGAGTACAGCTGCAGTCATTGAGTGGGGACGGCGGTCAGTCAACGTGAATCCATGGGGATGTTGAGAAGGGAGATCGTACGCAATTGTCAATGTCGAAGAAGAAGATTGGTCTGGGATCCCGTGGCGCGCTGGCCGACTGGTGATTATTGGTGGTGGTGGTGGTCATGGTTCGTCGGGACTGGGGCAGTTGGCGGTGATTCCGAGGGACTGGAACAGCGCGGAGGGGAGTCAGAAATCGCGGGGTCGAGAAAAGGGTCTGGGTAGCGGGATATGCGCCAGAAGTAAAAGATGATCGATAACAGGCGCGTAGAATGGGACGATTCATAGCCGAACCCTATGCGCCGTGGTTAAGGGGAGTTCGTGAATGGTAGTTAGTTAATAATTTGAATATGAGTAATACTGCAATCGTTCAGTAAGATGGATGATGACTCGTTGTCTCGGGAGTCGGGGAGAATCAAGGACGGCTTTTCCCCGGCGAGTTTAGCGCGTTCGGCGCCAAGTTACTCGAGTAACTTACTCGTAGCAGCACGGCTGGCTGCGTCCTTCTTTTCCCTCTCCGCAACTTCACCTTTGGCTCGACACTTTGTCTTCCTCTCCCTTCCTCCCCCCACTCTCCCTTATACATGTTAAAAAAGCACAAAAAAAAGGAAAGATAAGTACAGAAAGAGAAAGGAAAAGAGAAAAAAAGACTCTAGCTGGTCCGGGTCTATTGGCGAAGCTGTCCTACTTATACCGCAATCAAAGATTGCAACCTGGACGGGTGACGCAGCAGAACTTGCTCGCTGTAAACCTCAGGTGATTTGATCTATCGACTCTCACGGCCAACATAATCCTAGCCTAGGAGAGTCGTTTTCCTAAATTATGGCAGCAGCTCAGCTTTCAACATCAGGCAGTAGTGCACCTACTAGGCTACCTACAACAAATCAGGAGGTGCAGGAGTATGAGAAGATCCTGAAAATAAGTGACGAAATCTTTTCTGGAACTCACCCTAGATTGAAGGTTCCTCGGCAATTTGTGCGCAAGACGGCTTCGCGCAACCCCCCTGCCTCTTCTACTCCCTCTCAGGTAAAGCCAGGAGAACGGCAGAAGGCATCTCCCAAGGATCACGTCCCGACCGCCCCTTCTAATGCTAAACCGGCCAACTCTCAGAGCGGTGGCGTTGGGGGGATTTCGTCGGGTGTGACGGGGGCGTCGCGTATCATCCCCAATCCTACCTCGGAAATCGATCCGATCTTCTTGACGAAGTCGGACGATCTCGTGCGAGCTGAGCTACAGCTACAGCGTCAACGGGTGGAACGGGCGTTACGGGAGCAGCTGGAGCAAAAAAGGCAGGAGTCAAGGCAGAAGGCTGCTCTACAGGACGCGAAGCCGGACTTCGATGTTTCTGATGTGCTCGTTAAGGCTTTCGAGATGGTCAATCCATCTCCGTCGGTCGATGGCCGTGGCAATGGAGAGCCCAGCGACTCTTTTGACGATAATTCGTTCTATTCCAGTAGAGCTCCTGATTCGCCTCAGCAGGGGGAACCGCAAAAACCATCTCCAGCACCTCAATCCAATTCTGAGGAGCTTGCTACTGCGGTCCCAGTAGAGAACTATTCAGATGAGTTGCAACGGCTTGAGGCCCTCAACAGAACTGGATCGGATCAGGATATACAAGATACTTACCCCGTGGCAGGCCATCGATTACCCTATGATCAAAGGCAGCCGCACCATGGCGAGGTCGACTACGCATCCCGCGAGTACCCGAACCACAACCAACCACCTGACGCGTTCGAAGAACCGGAGTACTCGCCGCCTGCGCCCGGAGTCGCGCCCATGGAGAGGGAAGACAATTACGAGGTTCAGAGGGAGTACGCGGGCGGAACCAAACGACGTGCGCCGGAAGGTCGGCCAGTTGAACGAGCCCGCTACGCTCGACAATCTGTCTCGCCTGCCGATGATGTCCGAGTCGTGCGGAACCACATCACTTCGCCTGCCGCTCCACAACCGTCTAGGGTCTCTCCGTTGGCGATCGCCAAGGTGTCGTCGGTCCCACATGCGCGTTCGGACTACGCTCCGGAGCGTCATGCCAGTCCTGACGTACCCGCCTATCCTTTGACGTCTAGAAAGCGTAGGAGACTGCATGAGGATCGAGACCGATCTCGTCCGTCGTATAAGGCGCAAGCCACCACGGTTGCCGATGAGGCATACATCAAGGAAGAACCCGTATCGCCTCCACCTTTTGCAGATACCCCACAGACGTACAGAAGCCGCCAAATTCAGGAGCGACCTGTGTACATAGACATTGCCTCGCCACAGTATACTCCCGTGATCGAGAGAAGGGAGCCGCCTATGAGAGAGCCAGGGTACGAGTATGAAATCTATGACGCTCATCATGCAGATTCTGGCGCTCAACGGACCGTCTCCAGACTCAGTGTGAGACGTCCGATGCGCGACGGTCAAGATCTTCGACGAGTTGCCAGTCTCCAGCATCAAGCTCGACAACCCGAATATGCCCGCGAGTATATTGACCAGGCTAGCCCCCATTCTCTGCGCGCAGGATCCTACGCTATCGTGGAACAGCCGGCACCAGAACGAGTCCGGTACTATGACGAGCTGCCCCCGCCGCCTACACGCCGCTATGTTCCTGCGGGAGAATCGCCGATGTCGCCTCGACTCCGGGAAGCTTACTACGAGGAAGAGGCCACGGGTCAGATGATGGCGCCACCTCCGCGACGGATCGTGGTCGATGAGCACGGCAATCAGTATTACCTTCCCGCCAGCCGAGCCCCGCGCGGTGAGCTTTACGATGACCGTGCGGTCACTCTACGCCACGCGAGCCTACGGGCGGCATCCGTCGTTGAAGACCCCTTCGGCGGTCGGAGGTACGTACAGGACATGCCCCCTCCGCCGGCTTATCGACGCGTCACCGAGTACGCTCGCCCAGTCCCGAGTGAACGCCGACCTTATGCGGGCGCCACTCCCGCGACCGTTGCCGCCGGCCCGGATGACCGAAATGTCTATCCACCACGTAGCGCCAGCGTCCAAGTGACCGAATACGCCACCCGCCGACCTCCACATTACCTTGAAGAGGCTGAACTGCCCCGCGAGCGAATCGTACGGATGCCGAGCATGCGTCCCCCAGCAGGACGGTATGAGGAGCCACGCGAGGTCATCCAACGAGTGGAAAGTGTTCGCCCCGGCGGAGCGCGCGACGTGAGTGTGTATCTGGACGACGGGACCCGGCAGCCGCGCGAGTACGTGGAACGGCCTATGTATGTTGCGACGCGGCCTCTGGCGCGCGAGGAGCCCGTCCGTTATTATGAGGGAAGTGTCGCGGCGAATTCGGAGCGGGTTGTATTAGAAGGAGCACCGCGAGGGGATGTAGTTCATCGAGTTCCTCCTCCGCGGTACTAAGTATTTTTTCTCTTTCCGTCTGATGTTCTCAGATGAACACGCCATATATTTCGTCGATTTTCAGTTTACGTCTCCATTGGGGGCGTTTTATTGTACTTACAAAAGCAAGCAAGCAAGATGACTGGGGTTCATGCTACTTATGCATGGAGATGACGTATACGCGAACCTATTTCGAGAATCATTCCAGGAGGGTAGTAGAGAGATGAAAGGTATTCACGGTTCAATCTCGATCTTAGGTCTGGTGCTGTGGTACACAGAGTAATCAGCTATGCTGATTGGTAGTTTGCTTTCTGCCGCTCTGCTGGCAACACGGATACCGCCTCCGCCGCTGCCGCTATAGTTCCTTGCTCGCATCGCTCACGTCCATGATAATTCATCGCTCGAATGAAATGTCTCGCTCATAGAACCTCTTCACTGATATCATTCGATATCATGGTTCCTCGTGGTTCTTCACCTATCATGCAACACTAGATGTACCCCAATGTGCACCGTCAAGAAAAGAATTTGGCACCTCTTTCTCTCCCACACAATCCCGATCTAGACTCCCTCTACTCCGGTTTATATCTACAGAATAGAACCGTTGATAAACCAAGATTGCGTGGTTTGTATGTTTTCCCCTCATGGTCCATAAAGCAATGAAGACGGCTTGGACAGATGACTTGGATTATACGGAGCAGGTGATTAAGCTACCCGTCATCGTAGTGTACATATATGTTCTCAGGTTGGGAGGCCTCCGTAATGTAGGGATTTTCCTACTCCTTCCAGAACGACTTATCACATTGGAACTTGGAGGGTATCTCTTCTTCCCTGCTTTTCCCATGGAAAATGAAAGAATTTCGATTGATAGATACGAGTGCTCGTACATATGGCAAAGATACAGAGGTGCTGAAGGCGAATTGAAATACGGACCCCCCACTGCAGTGGGTTGGGTTGAGCGATGTGAGGCGGTTGATGAATGACGTCGTTGCTGATTCGGGCGTCGAGATCGATCGAGGTCGGGTAGTTACAGTAATTTGCCATCAGTGGAATTAACCACTCCACTAGTATGTTGTTCATTTGCATACAAACCTGGGAGGAAAGTAGTCATTCGATGATCTTCCAAGTATCAGTTAAGTCGAGGGGTCATCCATCCTGGTGCCATGGATAAGACGGCCCGGTGAAAGTCTGGGGTTCAGTTTCTTGAACGACCATCCTCGGGGAGGTTGCCACGAATCGGACGAGATGGGATCGACTATGGGGAGCTTTTTTTTTTTTTTTTTTTACTTTTCAGGTTTGTGCGATATTTACTGAGTACTGTAAAAAGAAACCAGCTGGTCATTGTGTGACTTGGATGAAACGAAACCGAATGCCAAATGTCTTTCCCTGTGATGCCTTAAACTTATTGTTCGATGTTAGGATTATCCCGTGGGTTCCCGTTGAGCCCCGTTTTGTTTCTCTTCAGAACCCATGCGGATTCAACTTAGGACGGGACAAGCTGCTTGATGATCATCATCGTGATAGACACAAAGAAAACGGCCGAGGGAACTAGATTTAGACTAGAAGAGGAGGGGAGGGAAAGTGTCTGACACTTTGACTGTTTCTTCCTCACCCTGGATTCGCCGGGCGGAGACCAAGTCATGATACACGGTGACGCAAGGTCGGTGGTGTTTCACTCCCCTCCCCTCTCTCCTCTCTCTCTCTCCTCCAATCCGGTTTACTGAGTACAGCCCCTTCCCGCTGAGTGGCTGCTGTCTGGAGTATTGACATGCATTAGTAAGTTGAGTTAATGGGCTTGATGGAGGGTTATTCGCCCCTTCAAGTACGGTACATATTCTGGGTGTAGTATGTAGTTGTCTGGTAGATTGCAAATTCCTGCCCGTTACCGGGGAGAGATTGTGATCCAGACTGGTATGCATGTATGTATGTATGTATGTACTGCTGTGTTTGGATTGAGTGTAGCAGTAGTGATTAGCAGTGGCAGCAGGAGCGCAAATGGATGGGTCGATTCAGACGCGTGGCAAATTCAACAACGCGACTCTGTCTCCAGGTGTACAGTGTACACACACATATTACTACTGAGTAGTTGTGTGATTGTTCAGGTCCAAGAGGACTCGAGGTTCAGCCCAGTAAGAGTCGATCCTGTCTGGTCTTCTGTTGTTGGGGGAGGGAAAGGTCCCCTCATGCTTGCTTGCTTGCTTGCTTGCTCGCTATCAAGGAAAATCCGGCAAAGAGCTTGATTTGATTATAGAGGTAGGTAGGCCACCACCAGGCTAGACCGGACTCAAGTGATCTGCCCTTGCCCTTTCCCAGCACTTCCGAGCTTGGATCGCCAGTTCACAACCGGGTCTGGGATACTTCCGCCGGGGGGGCCAATTATCTTCTGGATTTTCGGCTCGCAAGTCAGTTTGTGTATGCGTTGCACATGCTTTCTTCACACCCTCCGTTTTCTCCGCATTTCCATGCTTCATAGTCCAGTCTTTGGACTGCAGTTGAATGTTGACACCCATAGACTAGTAAGAACCCCGGGGCCTTAACCATGGCTACACGTGACTGCGTAGAGTGCAGTCTCTAAGTGGCCTGCAGCGCCCAAAGGGGCAAGGTGGGTGGACCGTGCACAGGGAATTCAATGCAGTGGTGGATGATCACATCGCCCATCCTTCGATTCTTCACATGAGGAAGAGTGTTATCTGACTTGACCTGACTGACCCTCGAAGAAACAGAAGTGGGAATGTCTTTGGGCAGGAATTGAGTTTCCTTTTAAATTGCTGGGCACTGTTCAGCGTTTCCTTTCATTGTTATCGGGATTCCTTCCAGCCCGTTGATGCCCCAGTATGGAGAACGACGGGATGGAATGTTGTGGACTTCTGTCAGAAACGGCCTGGCAGGAAGTGAGTGAGTCAGGCTTCGTTTCTCTCTGTTTCGAAGTACGACTCGAGTATAACCCGGCTATTGTGACTGTACTCCGGATTCATCAGGGATAGTGTAGATTTTAGGAGGACAAGAAGGGGGCACTGGGTGGGTGGACTGATCCCTAGTTGGACTAGTCAGGACGATGATGACTACTATTCTGGTAGTAACTAGGCAGGACTCATTAGTATCGACTCTAGTGAGGGTTAGTCTGCTTCTGGTCACGATCGTACTTTGGCTAGACAATGCCAGCATTGGGCCTAGACACTGGGCTGAGTACCCGCCGTGTCCCGCCTGATGAAGAAGAAGGAGGGGAGGAGGGATGAAGATTAGTAGTACTAGTAGTTATTGGGGGTTGTGGTTCGAAGGAGAAGGATCAGGACATTTATAGCACACAGTTTGGTCAATTTTGGAAACCAAGCACGAGGTAGCTTCCGATAATGAATTCTCCTTGATGGATTGATAATTCGATTGATTGATCAGGATCAATGATGATTGATTAGTCGACTGATTGATTGATTGATTGAGTTGGCTGTGAACGGGTTATTTTGGTGCCTGAGGAAGACCACCCGGCCAGAAGAAGATCGCTCCATCCAATCCATCCATCCATCCATGGATGGCTGTGTTCTTTTTTACTCTTGTGATGGATTCATCCAACTCTGCTTGCTGTTGCTGTTGCTGTTGCTGCTGCTTGCTTGCTTGATTGCTTGCTTGCTGGACTCCCCAAGCCTTCCTTCCTGAATTCGGCCAGAGGAATTCCTCCCTCTCTTCCCACCCCCGCCTTGTTCTTCTGATTCATTCTTCTCCCTCCCTGCTCTGATCGACTGAGTAAACTTGAATCAATTGTCAAGTTCTCGCAGCCAAAAAAAAAACCCAACGCCCATTTTTTGTTGATTGATTGACAGCCAGCCCAGCCAGTCTGCTTTGGACTGCTTTGCTTTGCTTCCTTTTCCCTTTCTTTCCCTTTGTCGATTTATTCTTCTTTTCCTCATCGCCGTCTTATCGTCCTCATTTTGGACATTCTATCTTCTCGAACATTGCTTGTTTTATTATTCTATTTTATTTTTGGTGTTGTCCGCAGCCCAGACACTATAGGTTCAATCATCCTCGATACCCGTTTTGGCCCGTCAAGGTGGTTGATTGCCTTTTCCCACCCCATTCCGGATTACCCAAAAAGGCGCCCTTCTTCGTCTTGTCACTCGAACTCCCTCAGTCTCCCTCCTCCCTCCCTCCCTCATTCCCTCTCTCTGCCTCTCTCTGTCTCTCTCTCCCACACTACGCTCCCTCCCACTAAACTAACCACTCCCTCCCTCCCCTCCACCCAAATCCATTCTACCTTAACACCACCTCCACCACCTCCACCACCTCTTCCTTTTTCCTCCTCCCCTTGTGCGCTCACCTCCCTCCCCCCCCCCCCCCCCCAAAACACACCATATCCCTGTCGAGACTGGCGACAAACTAAAGCCTTGTCTGTCCGCCTCGACTTTCTTCTTTCTCCTCATCGTCCTACTTTCTCTCTTTGATTCCCCTACTGCTGCATTCGCCTTGTCTTTTCCTTCTTGCCCCTCCTCCGCCGGTTCATTCGCCATTCCTTCTCTCCGCTGCTCGACCCTCCCCCTCCTCTCCCCTCGACTCGTTCAAGGGGCCAGAGACTCGACTTGCCCTTGTCATGCACAAGATCTCCAACTTTACGGGTCAGGCCCGTCATGGCTGGGAGCGAATGACACCCACTTTCGGCATGTCTCGACCGCACACCGATATGAGCTCCCACTCCCTTCGTCGACCGCACGGCGCACCTCCGATGACTCCGCCCACCGGCATTGACCCTACCGTCAACCTCTCCTTCAATGTTCCATTCTCCTCCACCTTGGCCGGTCCCGATGCCGATGATGTCCTGCACGCGAGTCCTGGTGCTCTCCAGCGTTGGTCCTTCCCCGAGGGCACCCCGGACGGAACCCCCGTCCACCAGCTTCCCGTCCATGCCAGCAATGTTGAGGCCCTGCGGAGGTTATGTCGCCAGATCACCGAGAGCAGTAACGGTCGAGTAGAGGCTGTTGTCACGTCGTCCGAGCCCAAAACGGTCCCCTCACTACAACGACGACCCCAAGGATTGGCGACGAATGTCTGTATCACCGGCGATGGAGAGACTGTGCGCAAGATGCGGGCAAGGGTCTTGAACGAGACTCCAATTTTGCTGGTACGGCCCCAATAATGGTCCTGTTTCGCCACGGCGACTTTTGCTTGCTTGCTCAATACTGATGATCCTGGTCTAATAGCGTTGTGCGACCGTGGATGTTGACGTCCATCTTATTATTGACGGATCGACCAAGAATATCCGTTCCAGTGTTCTGGAGCATCTCGATACCCTGGCTGCATACACTGGCACCGATATCTTCCTCCTCAACCCCAAGATTCGCGACAATGATAGTGCTGTGATCTCCTCTTATGGCTACGCGTCGGATAATGGGCTGGACCAGCGGTTCCGGGTGTCCATCTACGGGGACATGGAGAGCGCGGAGCATGCCAAGACTCGCGTGTTGATCATGATTGATCAAATTGTAGGTGCTTGTTATGACGAAGGAGACGGTCGGGATACTAACGATGCTTAGCTCAAACGTCACGTGGATGCCATGAAGCTGGAGCTCACCATGCACACTTTGGTCTGCGGTCGGACTCGCAAGAACATCAAGCTGATCGAGGCGGCGACCGGAACGGCCATCTACTTCCCTCCGCCATTCCCGCGCATTTTTGGATACACGCCCCCCGGTGCCCACCGTCGCAGTGAGGACGAGGTTTACATCACGGGTGACACTCAAGAGCAGATCGCTCGCGCCAAGCAGAAGTTGCGGGAACTGGTAATGGGGGTCAAGATCTATGTGAAGGATGTCATCGTCAACTCGAACAAAATCGACAACATTTTGCTTGATCGCCTTGACAAAGTCCGGAAGGTGATGGAGATGAACGGATCTTACGTCCACTTTCCCCAGCTGGGAATCCAGCGTGGTGTGGTTCGCATCCAGGGCACAGAGGTTCTGCACGTCGAGCGCACAGTTCGCGAGATCATGGCTTTGGTAGGTGGTCTCATTGCTCGGGCGGAAGACTTTTCATCAGGTGTCACTGACAGATCATGATAGGCCGGCCAGTTCTACAGCGCCTCGTGGTGGATTATCATGCCCGACCCGTCCCAAGGTGGATTACGCGCCCCACCCGCCGCCGACGTTCGTACAATGCTGTCCGACATCTGCAGCAATTCGGGTGCCGAGGTCAGCTTTGACAACTTGACTTTCACCATCAATGGATCAGATGATGCTGTCAAGGCAGCGATGATGGTGATCAACCAAATCCCATTTGTCCAGCGGAGCCAGTACCAGATGCGCGTCAAGATCGAACTTGCGAATGAGCACAAGGAGTTTGTCAGTGGCAAGAAGAATGGCAAGATCAACAAGATCATGGGACAGAGTGCGTTCATTGATTGTGACTGGCCGCATGAGCGAAAAGGCTGACCCTTCTAGGCAATGTGCAAATTATTTTCGATGGTTTCAACGAGTACAACTTCTACATCGACGTGTGCGGCAACCAGTACGAATCCACCAAGAACGGCCTAGATCTTGTTGAGCAGGAGATGCCCGCTTCGATCTCCTTCCATGTGCCCGATCAATATCACAAGCGAATCATCGGAATCGGTGGTCAGCATATCCAGCGCATCATGAAGAAATACTCGGTTTTCGTCAAATTCTCGAATGCCATGGACCGCGGCGGAATGGGCAAAGAGGACGATGATATCAAGGTTGATAACGTCATCTGCCGGACTCCTGCACGCAATGCCCAGAGTCTCGACTTGGTGAAGCAGGAGATCATGGACATGGTCGAGAAAGTCGTAAGTCTACATTCTGTCTGACCACCGGTGACCCTTATCTGACGTGTGGACAGGATGCCGAGTATGTATCGGAACGAGTGGTCATCAACCGGCTGTATCACCGTGAATTGCTCGCCCGCATCTCTGAAATCGACGAGCTTGAGAAGAAGTGGAACTGCAAGATTGAGTTCCCTAGCACCGAGCTTGCTAGTGACGTCGTGAACATCTCTGGACCGGAATACCAGGTTCCGCAGGCGGTTGACGCCTTACTGGTATGTACTATCTATCTTTTCCGTGGTTGCAGTTCTAATTACCGTTATAGGGAATGGTCCCTGAGAGTCACGAACTCCTCTTCCAAAGCTCCGCAGAATTGCGAGATTTCTTCAAGTCCCCCGACTTCCGTGAAGATGTCTGCGCAAAGTTGAAGGAACAATACGAAGTTGATACCACCGTGGATACAACTTCGGACCTTCCGACATCTGACAGTGCCTCGGGGTCCTCTTCTCCCACTTTCGGGCCTGAAGACCGCGTGGTGCTCGGATACACTCGCAATAATGCCGGTGGACTGAAGGATGCGATCGATTTCTTGATCTCGCGCCTTGTGGCTCACGGACTTGACGCGACGACAGTCAAGGGCGCCATCCCGCGACCGAAGTCTGACTCGTTTGAAGAGTCCCTGCCCTTCTTCGACTCCAAATTGTTGCAGCATGCTCCTGCCCCCCTCGTCACCGACTCTCCTACCCGACCCAACTTCTCCGATGAAACCAGCGAGCGCGGGTCCATTTTCGAGCGACTGCGCAAGCCTGGTAGTATCTCTTCCTTCTCCTCGTTCATTGGACGCAAGAACCACTCGGCTTCTCCAGGGTCTTTCTTCAAGCATGCGTCCAGCAATGCGTCGAAGGCATCCTTGGTTTCGATGGAGTCCCGCGACAGTGGCTATCGCAACCCATGGAACGATTCCGGCGTGAACCTTGCCGAGGACGACCTGCCGGTCCTCGGAAGCTCTCACAGCCACAGCAGCAGCAATGGCTGGCCCGCGCGCTTTGACACGAAATTTCCATTCGGTACCGCGCCAGGGGACATGACACCCAAGCATGACCCGCGCGCCTCTTTTGACAGTGGTCGTCCTAGTACTTCCAATTCTACTTCTGGATACCCGGCCCCAATCGGGCCACCGCGTTAAAATCAATGTCAATTTGCAGCAGTATACCCCAAGAGACTTTCTAGTGTTTTTCTTTTGATATTATTTTTGAGATTTGTTGTCAGCGATTTGTGTTTCGGATCCTTCTTGATACCACAGAGTGCATGCATGCAATCAAGACGTCACAGGAAAAAAAGATATAAAACAGGAAAAGGAGGCAAGACATTCAAAGAATACAGGATTGTTGTGTTGATATCCGTCAATATCCGTCACCTACTCCTGGTCTTGTTGGGTCTGCCCTCCCGGTGATATTCTCCTCTCTGTCATTTTTTTTCGCCAGATGTTTGTCGTTTTTTTTTTTCACTTGATCTTGTTGAGTTAAGCCAAGGGTTGAGGGATATCCATAGGGGACCTTGGAGGGAGATATCATACGGGAAACAAATACGCGGCTGGTGAACTTTGCCATATTTTTTTTCTTCTTGCATTGAAACTGTTATTTTCCCCTTTTCAGACATGATACCAAGTGAAATGAAGGTGTATGCAAGGATTGACATGCTGCCCTTGGACAGTTTGCGTTTGATGGATTCGATTTGGAATTGTTATATACCTGAAGATATCCAGATGTTTCGTGTTGCGGCAGTGAAGTATTTATATTGTTCTGCTTCGTCTATGTTCTCCGTATGATCCGTAGGTGCTGAAGTTTTCTACTGTGTAGATCCTTCTTGCTTATCGCATGCAAAGCATCACTACCCTCTATTAAAGTCGGAAGAAGTGCAACCGCCCAGACAACTAAACGAGCGTATGGTAGGTCAATTATGTTCCATCTATGCGACTGCAACTGTAGATAATCCCCATTATCATCCTTGAATATCAAACGAGAGAAAACCACGGAGAACAGACATTATGAGTAGGCGAGGGTGATGGGGAACGGCGAAGGTAGGAGGGAGCCGGGGTATGGAGAACTAGCAGCCTGCCTGTCTTATCTGGGAGAAAACGAATGGGTTGTATGCTTTATGCTTAGGGACCGAGATCAGTGATTCGAGAAGAGGCGAATTTGGGTAGGAGGGGGTATAATCAGAGCATTAAGGTATTAAATTGCATTGGCATCGGGCATGGACATGGACATGGGCATAAGGGGCATTGATATCAATCGAGATTCGGGCTGGCTGGGGTTTCGGTAGGGGGTATAACGAGTGAGACCAAGCTGAACGGGATTGCGGGGGATGGGTCGGGTGAGGAGGCCGTTCAGGGGGGGGGGCGAGTCTGTTATGTATCTTGAGGATTGACGATTAGGGTTTTTGAGAGTGTTGCGTTGCGTTGTGAATCAGGGGATGTGGGAAATCTTCAGAAGGCAAGGCCAACGGCCGAGTGGCGGTAGTTCTCGTAGTACTGGGATTGGCGCAGGTCTTCGTACTCTCCTTCTTGGTGTTGGTCCTGGTGGGAGTGGGAGTGGTGAGACTGCCGCTGCTGCTGGTGATGATGTTCGCTCTCAAAGATGGTGGGGTACATGCTGCGGTCTTCTGGCACGCGTGGGATGAATGGACTGCCTAGCTCTTTGTTTGAGATCCCCTTCGCAGTGAATGGAGCTGCAGCTGCAACAGGAGCAGGGCAAGTGGTGGTTGCCGTGCTGCTCTTGAAGCCTCCTCCGGTTGGATGGGTGAACGAGGAAGCGAGCGTCGATCCGCTGAGGGTGCGCGAGCGGATGCGGAAGGGGCTGTTACCGCCCGCGCCTTTTTGGGACGGGTTTTCCTTGTTCAGGTTCGGCCAGGTGGGAGGGGATGGGGCCGGGGAGTGGTTCTTGGTGGTGGTTGGACTGCTGCTGTTGCTGCTCGTGGCGTGGAAGAGCCATTGCGTGACGCGGCCGGAGCGGGACGGGGTTCGCTCGCGGTCGTCGGAGGGGGTTCGGGGAGGATGGCTGTGGGAGGTTGTGCTTCGCGATGACGGGGCGTTTTCTCCTTCTTCTGCTTCCTCGGCGGTGGGGATGCTTGGTAAGGGCCTGTCCTGCAGGTTGGGGGGGTGGGGGGGTGTTCTGGGAGGTTTCGATGCTGCTGCTGCTGCTGTTGCTGTTGCTGTTGCTGTTGCTGCTGCGGTATTGTTGGACTGTCGGCGTGGATTTTGCTCGTCTGTGTTCGTGTCTGGCACGACAGCAAGAGCAGAAGAACTACGACTCGAGAAATGAGGGATGAAGGCACTGCTTTTGCTGTTGGTGGTGGTGGTGGTGGTGGTGGCGGCGGCGGCGGTGGCTTGTCTCTCCCCAAAACCAAGATATTCGTGCGCTGCGAGGGACGAACGACGTGAGCCAGACCCCACAGGCTTACGGGGTAGCTGAAATGATGAAGTTGGTCTATGTTGGGTTCGGGGCTGAGGCTGAGACAGAGGCAGACGAGCTTTTTCGCCGGCTAGGGCTACGGCTCGCGGAGGCCGGGTGATGGTGACCGGGGAACGACGATCGGTCTCGAGAGGGAAATCATCGAAATGAGGAAGCGCTGGAAGCTGGCGGCCCGGGACATTGAAGCTCAGCTCCAGCGGAGAGTATGACCCGCCGTCTGCGGCTGCAATATCAGCGCCGGGCAGGAAAGTCGACACTCGTCGGAAGTCGGACGGGGCACTGATGCGGATGGGCGGTGCGGCGGTCGATTTTCTCTTCAGGGAGATGCTGGCCCGGTTCTTGCTTTCGAGCATCCATGAGGGGAAGGATGGAGTCCGGGGTTGAGGGCGTGGCGGGGTGGGAGCTTCATCGTAGACGAAAGGCTTCATCGGGGGAATGAGACGCGGTTGCTGGGTGTGGCATATCTTCATCTCCCGTTCGGCACCTGTAGGGGAAAGAGGAGGAAGTTCAGTCAGTTACTCCGTGATGGCTTGTGTTAAGCTGGGTTGGGTTGTGTTGTAAGGTTGGAAAGTAGCCGACTTAGGGCTGTGTGGTTTTGTGTATACATTCAAGGCTGGACCGATGGATGGACATTACCTTTGCGCTGCATGGCTTGTTGATGATGGCGGTAACTCTCCTCGTCATCCCCGGAGTGCACACAGAATGAGCAGGAGGATATCCAGCCAGTGAACATAGATCCTGCTTGTTCAATTGCCTGCTTCATGGCTGCCAGCGCATCAAATGTGTTGATCCATCATCCAGTGGATCCGGCGAACAGACAGTGGGGAAGAGGAAAGGCGGGGAGGGGACCAAGCAGAGTGAAATAGTAACACGAGAAGGCAGACAAGCCTGCTGACGAATCTGAGAATAAGAATGAAAGCAAGGGGAATAAAGTTGACAGCTAACAGCTACCACAGGGAGGGGAGGAAAGGAAAGGAAAGGAAGTGAAGTAAAGTCAAGAAGCACCCTCTCAGGCCTCCAGGGAGAGAGAGAGAGAGAGAGACAAGAGTAGGGGAGAAGGAAAGGGCAGACAGGCAGACAGGCAGACAGGCAGACAGACAGACAAACAGACAAAGAACCAGCAAGATAAAGACCTGGTGATTTAACTTCCTCCCCGAGACCCAGACACGCACACAAAGAGACTAACTACTCCGTACAAACTATGAGATTGCTTCAGATAGAAGCTCGAGCATCAGCCATTTCCTCTGGACTAATGAGGAGGCAGGATGAGGCAGAGGATGTGACGGTCGTGGTGCCATTCCTGTTGCCCTAATCAAATGAGGCACACCAATAGCGGGGAAGCAAAAGTCCCTTTTCTTCCACTCTCCCCTCTCCTCGCCAGCGTGTCGGGCTGTCGATCAGCCATCGTTGATGATGACCATGTCAGTCCTCCTATCATCCTATCGATCCGGAAGATAGCGTGGTGGGCGCGTAATGGCTGGCCGTCATTTGCTGGGGGTACCAACCATCAGCCCGAGTGACAGGAAACCCCGTCACATCATCCATCATCACTTGCTCTGGGCTCGTTACGCAAATGCCCCTGACAGAAAAAAGAGCGTGGGTTAATCAAAAAAAAAAGCACATGGCTCGGGTACACTAGCCTCATCTTCAATCATCGTACAAGCCCTTCCTTTCTTTATACAGTACAGGTCTCCTCCACATCACAGAAATAAAATGATCTCGAAAACTATTTCCAGGCGCAATCACGACACATGCAACTTTATTGGTCCTAAAGCTCGCTCTTTGCTACCTACCGGCCCCAAACATTGTCTTCTTCCAGGTCCCCATAGGCCCAGCCCTGTCTCCTGGATTCCTCTTCCTCATCATTTGCCTCGGGGTGAATTAATGTATGGAAGTCATCGCCATGCCGTTCATCTACCGGTTCGCCCGTTGGTCTCCTAGAATCGGTTGTTAGTGTCATATACTTTTCGCTAAACTAGAAGATACATACTGGAAGTGCCGGTGTTCGGGTTCGACCGTCGTGGAGCCAAATGCCCTCTGCGCCAGCTGTCGTTCCTCCTCCTCAGCCTTCTGATCCTCGACAACAAGATCCACGATTTGGCTTGGGTGAGAGGCGTAGGAGGCTGCGGAGTTGGCTCTCTGCTCAGCGTAGCTTGCACGCGGGCTGCGAGAGGTTCCTGCGCTACGATGGTTGTTATCGCCACTAGAAGGGCGCGGCTTTTTCTGCTTGCGGGATTTCTTGACGACCCCTGATGTCTGTCGCTGTGGTGAGGCTCGCTGACGTGCGAGGCGCTGCTCTGCTGGCACCTCGTTCGCGGTGATCACGGGGTACTGCTCCAGTCAGCTGACCACATCTCCTCGTTTAGGGGATGAAGTGACCTACGTTCCAATCCCCAAATTCCAGCGCTCGAGCGTTGTTGAACAGCCTCTCGTCATCTTCATCCAGAGTTGTCTCCTCCATCTCGTTGTGTGAATGCATGCGACTCAGCGTGCTACTGCGTCGGTCTCGGCTGCTGCCTTCCGACCCGGCCAACAACGGTGTCCGGCTGTTGATCTCCCCAGGGGTCGGGATCCAGTACTTGGCTTTACCACCACGTTCATATCTGAGACCATGCATCACACGCCGGACACGCGAGTCAGATTCTGCATGTGCGATAATGTGGTCCCCCGAATCGAAAAGACGGTACTCGTAATTGTCACCCCGTATCGTCAT